AGGCCATTGTAAGTCATTGTATAAACTTCTTTGTTGTTGAGTTGTTAATAGCAATAGAATGATGGAAAGTTATTAGCAAATATAAAAAAGAATAATAAATAATTAATACTTGTTTGAATATTATTATTATAAACAAACTCCAATGGCGTTAAATATTCATCTCAATCACTAAGATGAATGGCGACAAATGCTTATAGTATATGCTTCAAGGTCCAATTTTAATGCTTTATTTTTTCATTTGTTTGAGTATGAAAGGCTATAGACATAGCAAGTTCTGTACCCAATAGCTTAAATAAAGACTTAGAAAAACTTTTCATGAAATATGGATTCCAATCTAAAACAATGACATGAAATAACATATTGTGACAGAACTTAATATCAAAAGAGATCCATGCAAGTGTTAGAGCATCAATATTAAAGCATACCTCAGCCAAGTGAAATTGCTTTAAGAGTTGGTCTACAAAGACAAAAATTATATTGTGATTGTGAGGCATATGCCACAAACACATAATAAGATCTATAGTTATCTGCTTTCAATATGTTGTAGGTAATGGAATTGGCTACAATATTCTAAGAAATATTACGTTATGTACTTTATTACATTGACATGACTTGTAAGAGGACTCAAAAGATTGAAAATCATAATCCAAACTTGCCTAAAATCATATCTTTGGAATTTGCTCTAGAGTCTTTTCATGCCTTAGATGTCCAAATATTAGAATGTCATATCCCTCTTAAAATATATTCATTTAGAATATAGCATCAACAAGTACATAGATTCACTTTTTGAAATAGAATAAGCCATCACTAAGATAATAATCTTAATATTATACATTTCTAATCTTCATAGGATTGATAATCATCTTAAAATAAGCATTTGTATGTGTAGCTTCCTTCCATTCTATTCTTTTCATTAAGTTTGAATTAATACTACTAATAGTAGTAATTTTTGTCTTATTTCTTGATTTGGGCTTAAAATTTGGTCTATGTAATAAGGTATCTGGCATGGTATATTGTCGCCCTTACTTATATTTAAGGTGAATGTCAAGGAATTATAATTGTTCTTTTTAAAAATAATGTTGTGATTTCATATTTTTTAGATGTAAATTGTGTAGCAAGGGTTGATAGTTAGTTCAAACAGATATTGGCTTTTCCAATAGATAGTGTTGCCACATCTTTGTGGCATGTATAATTATTAATTGCTCTCAATCACATGCAAAGCAATTATACTTTGTTCTTTTGAACTTATATAATTCATACACCACAGGTTAAAGGTCCCTACTAAAGTCTTGTTGAAGGACCACATTAATAACAAAGTCAAAAGCATTAATATTAAAAGTACAAAGAAGATTGGAATCATACGATGGCAATATTGGAGTAGTAATAAGTGCCTCTTTTAACTTATCAAAGGTCCTTTTTGGCTCTAGTTTCCATTCAAATGCAACATCTTTCTTCAATAGGCTTATGAGTGAGGCAACAATGTGGGCAAATTACCAAACAAAACTGCAATAATATCCAATAAGGCCTAAAAATGAACAAACTTCAAAAACATCTTTGAAATTTTACCAATCTTCCACCACTTTCATCTTATCTTACTCTAGGCACATGCCTTTGGAAGATACAACATGTTTCAAAAAGGTGATTTTTGACTTCTAAAGTTTACACTTTGATTGCTTACAATAGAAGTGACTATCTTGTAGCCAACACAATACTTTTTGTAGTTGTTATTCATACTCCTCACAGATTTTACTATAGATTAGGATATCATCAATAAAAACAACTACATACTTGTCCGAAAGGTCTAAAAAGAATTTATTCATGTGACTTATGAAGGAAGTTAGAGCATTGGTGAAACTAAAAGATAAAACAAGCCATTCAAAATGTCTTCAGCATGTACAAAAGGCCATCTTTTTTATATCCTCTTTTGCAATAAGAGTTTGTCAATAGCTACTTCAAAGGTCCAATTTGCTAAAAAATAATTGTATCTTGAAGTTAATCAAGAAAATCATCTATGCTTAGAAATAGATATATATATTCTTGATAATTTTCTTATTAAGGCTTTAATAGTCAATACGAAGCCAAAATCTACCATCTTTTTTGAGTGCGAAGAATACAAGTATTGTCTATGGTGACATATTTTTTTGAATGAGACCCTTCTTTAAGCATTCGTCCAATGTCTTTTATAGCTCTTCAAGTTCATTTAATATTTGGCAATAAATTAGCCAACTTATTAATTTGGCCCCAAGCAATAGTTCTACTTAGAAGGGGGTACCTCAATTCAGTCAAATGACACTATGTAAGTCAATTAGAAAGATATTTTGATATTCATGTATGAATTTCTTTGCTTTATTCTACTCTTTCAACTATTTTTTCCATCACTAAAATAAGATTTGGAACAACTATACATATTGATTGATTATGTTTTATTTTCTTTTTTATAAAAGACATTCCTATAAGTAAGTCTTTAATCACAAATTATTTTTCTATCTCACTTAATAAGAAGGTACAAAGAGTCACCTTGCATTTACCAACTTTGAAGGAGATTGTCTTTGTTAATCAATCAACTTGCTTATTTTCTACCTCTAATCATTGTGTACCAAAGATAACATCTTATTTGAGCTTTGTTATTTTGAATTTCTTTCTTAAGTTATAGGTATCACTCAACCTCAAGGTTTTTTCTTGACATGTCTTATTCAATACATTCTTTCAATCACCTGCTAAGTATATACTCCTTCCTTTGATCACCTTGGTTTTAATCCTAAATTGGTCGGTAATTCCAATTGAAATGTAAGTTTTTTGTAGAGTTGCAATCCATAAGTACTCAAAGTGATTATCTTCTTAGTCAACCTATTAGACACATGAGTCAATCCATATGATAGTTGTCCAAGGTCATGCCGTTTATCTCTGAGAGACAATAACTATTTCGAATACTAACTCTTAGTGCCTTTACTAAAAAACCTTGTTTTTCTATTCTATTTTATTATCGACTTAGTAAATCTTGAAATTATGAATCCATCTTGATTTATTAGTGCCTAAATTTTGATATTTTGGAAAAATCTCCAATTTGATGGCCTAGCTCTTAATAATAGAAATATAATCCTTTTTGTACTAATATTTGTCGTCTCTGAGGTATCAGTGATATTGACAAGGTATTAATTTCTATCTATGTTGGTTGTTATTCCATAGTATTGAATAGTGGCATAAGACTTTGTGCTATAGATTATGCTCCATAATTTTTGAAATTTATAGCATTGATCTACTCTACAATCTTAATTACCTCTTCAAATGTTTGTTGATCTCTTAATTCCACCTCTTATTGGACCACATGTTTCAACCTTTATACAAATCAATCTATCATCTTTGCCTCTAACATATTTCTAATTTAGTAATATAGTAACTAAAATTGAGATATAATCTTGTACTAACTTAGATTCTATAAAATTAGCCAAATGATCCTATGCTATTTTCTTTGCATTAATGTGCCAAAATTAACTCTTAAACTCGATCTCAAATTCCACGTGATTACAAAATCCATCTTGAGCTCCATAGCTTTGAGCTCAATATTGCCACCAAATGTCTACCGTACCTTTCAAATAGTTGATTGTATACATAATTCCTTTGATGGTATTTGCCTCAAATAGTTAGAGGTATGACACATATTGAAGAGTCATTGGCATACATCTTCTTATCTTGAAATCTTAAAGTATGTATCGAGCTTACTCAATATCAGCCTAACAAATGTTAACTTGCTTGTCCTAGATGCTTTGATTTGCCCTTGCAGTGTAACTATCTAGCTTAGGAGGTGTTATATTTGAATCTCTATGTGGGATTGCTTTGCCATATCTTCTATGTTGCAATTTTTTTATTGAACTTTGCTACTGTAATGCCTTCTTCTCTTCCAACTAACTTAAAAGTAGCTCGTGGTAGTTCCAAAACAATATTTGATGTGACCACAACAACTGACCTCCAATTAGATGATGGCTTTGAGTATACTACCAAAGAACAAACTAACATTTGATCTGATACCAATAAAATGAGACTAAACTATTTCTAAGATCTAAAACTCTTCTAATCTATAGGAATGTAAATCCTATTACAACGTAGGACAATGTAGACGAGAACAAAACTGAATAAAACTAAACAAAATTGAACATGAAAGGCAGAACAAAGCAAAAGAGAATAAAACAAAATTGAACAAAAAAATATAAAAGCAAAACTTTACTAAGAGAAAAGGACCATAGCCATACTTGACTAGATATCCAAATAGTCCTAGCCAATTCTATTTATACTTTGTCCAACCATCTTGGAACTTTTTAGAATGTTTCTAATGTTAGGCTCTACCTAAATAACAAAAATCCTAAATCCTAAATACCTTCTTTCTATGTGGTATTTTAAATTACATGTATATTGATCGATTGATTTATATGAATCTTACATTTTTTGATAGAAAAAAGTAATTAAAATAGAGTTGGTAATGATATATTATTTTTACTATTTGCATAAATTTTTTCTTCATGACAAAACCTAAGTTCTATTCATAAAACTTATTTTTGTTTTTTATTTTAGAATTTGATCTAATCTGTTTTTTCTTATGTGAATTTCTAATTCATAGTAAAAATTAGTTTGGGAAGAATAAATTTATTTCATATATCTTAAAACTCGAATTTTGGTATGCATAGATAAAATGGTTTTAGCCATGTAGCTTGTTAATAAATAAACCACATGTGAGCAAAAGGACAAATATACTTTTGGGTTTCTAATCTAAATTAAGCTACTATATTCATTGAATGAAAAGGACTCTATAATTGATTGAATGGTATTTGCAGACGTTTTAAAATGAGTTTACAATCACATGAAATAACATATACATACACATGCTCCAGGCGTGGAAGCACGAAGACAACAGTCACGGTGGATGAATATTAATAATGGATGAATATGTCAAACGTTTTGGATGAAACCCTAAGGGGGTGCTTGCATAAGACATGGCGGATGCGGAACATTGCGTCTTCTTTCTCTCCTCTGTTTCGGTGACGACGCACCACCGCAGCTGCTGCTGAGCCCACAGAAGGAGGGGGCGTGCCGGCCTTCAGCCATGCAGATCTTTGTGAAGACCCGTGAGTCTTCCTTCATCCCCCTGTGATGTCTTTTTTTTCATTTGTGTTTTTTCGGTGTGTTTTTCTTCTGTTTGGTTTAGGTTCCGGCTCCTATGCGCCAATATAATCAGGGTGTTGATATATGCGTGCGTGGGTTGTATCTTCTCCAGTTACGGGCAAGACTATAACCCTCGAGGTTGAGTCTTCGGATACTATTGACAATGTGAAGACCAAAATTCAGGACAAGGAGGGGATCCCTCCCGACCAGCAGCGATTGATATTCGCCGGAAAGCAGCTCGAGGATGGTCGCACCCTCGCTGACTACAACATCCAGAAGGAGTCTACCCTTCACCTTGTGCTTCGCCTGCGGGGTGGAGCGAAGAAAAGGAAGAAAAAAACGTACACGAAGCCGAAGAAGCTGAAACACAAGAAGAAGAAAGTGAAGCTCGCAGTGCTGCAGTTCTATAAGGTGGATGACTCCGGCAAGGTGCAGCGGCTGCGGAAGGAGTGCCCTAACCCTGACTGTGGGGCGGGTACTTTCATGGCGAACCACTTCGACCGCCATTACTGCGGAAAGTGTGGTCTGACCTACGTGTATCAGAAAGCTGAGGCTTGATTGATCAAAGCCGCCATTTGAATGCTTGGTATTCAGCATAGGGTGTGGAGACATCACGTGCAGGTGCTAGTCAGAGGCAGTGTTTACTTTGTAGATCTCACGGGGAGTAATGCGTCTTTTTTGAGTTGAATCTATGAACTTGGAAGGGTTGTCTGGGATACGGTCGTCTTTAAATTTTTTTTGTTGGATTGTTTTTGTTGATCCCCTGTTAGCATGTTAATTTCTGTACGCCTTTTTGTTTTCTTCCCGTATCTTTGTTTCTCTGTTAACATCATGCTTGCTGATTTGTCGTGGAGGAGATTGTGTTGATCACAAGATCTGTAGTCGGGGTTATTGTGCACGCTCGCTCATAATTTGTCTATCCGATGTCTAAATTTTCTATTCGTGAACCACGCTCGACTTTTTATTGTAGTGTCGTAAATGAACCCAAGAACCGTATCGTTTTGGAGAGACTCTGATCCCATTACCGTGTGACTCGATAAATCTATCTTGGGAAATGCCTGTTGAATCGGAAGTTTTGGTTTATGTCGCACCAGCTATGTTAAACACTTCTGGAAGGTTTTACTGTTGAATTACGACTCCCGCATCACAGCTGACACAGTGATTAGGTAACCTGCCCTTTTCCCTGTAGTGAAATCTCCTTGGCCCTTCATTTCTGCTCCTTCGAGGCTTTCACTCGTGTGCCCCCACAATCACTTTCGATCGCTATATCAATCTGAGAAGGCAACTGATCTTCTCCCATTAGTTCTTCTTACGGGATCTTTCTTCCACAGCCTGCCGAACCTGAATAGATAACACACAGAGTTGGAAGTGGGTAACACCTATCTGATTGTGATGTGCTAACCACGTCTTCCACATGCGGAATGAAATAGAGAAAACCAGGTCTTTGCTTCTGTAATGTACTGCAGGAAGTTCACCATTTTTGACGCTGTTGCCGTGGACAGTCCCCGTCGAAGACCATAGGTTTTCATCACTTTCTACGTCAGTGAGGGCACAAAGTGATGTTGCAACTCTTATTTTTAAGCGAAATTCTAATGCTTCATTATATACAGCGTATGTATAGGGAAATATTAAATTGACCCAAGGCTTGGTGCAATGAATAGTCAATGAAGATTGATTTTTTTAGCCAACAAGGTTATGATTTTTGTTGCAGCACTTGTATTTCATATTTTAAGCATGTAAGATGAGCTCTAAACCATATTGGTATGTACTGAACCAAAAATTTGATAGTTATTGTCTATTAAGTACATAGTTTTTTTTCTTTTTAATTGGATTTGAGTAGTCATAGGAATTGACCTACAGGAATAAGATTGGTCGATGTAATATTCCCTCATATAGAAGTAACTTGCCTAATTAGTAATCTTTGTGGATAGAAAATTTATTAATTATGCAAGATTTTACATAAATAGTAAAATCTTACTTATACTTATTATACCATAAAATAGTAAGGCCTTGAATTCAAGGCCATACTATTTTATAAAAGGGAAGAATTCAAGGCCATACTATTTTATAAAAGGGAAGAATTCAAGGCCTTACTATTTTATGGTATAATAAGTATGCATGCACAATTGACACATAATTGGTACTAATACACAATGGCTATAAATCTAAAATAAATTAAAAATGAAAAATAAAAAATTCATGCATAATGCAAAAGACTCTTGCAAAGTAGACAAAGGAGGAGTCTAGTCTTATAAAAGTATCTTCATAAGGGACAATTTTAAATATCTTATCATACTATGAGGAGTATGAGAGAAACAATAGTAGAAAGTTAAGAGGTCATTACAAATTTGGGTCTTGTCTTTTAACAATAGAAGTTGAATTTGCAAATTAGATTTGTCATTGTGAAGTTTGTTGCATGAATATCAAGTTGGCCCTCATTTGTAATAAATGTGAGAAACTTTGCAATTTATTCATTATTCTTGAAGAAAAGAACAAAAAAATTTAAATATCTAAATGGCTTGTTTTGATGGACATGATAAATTATACTTCTCTTTGTAAGGAGGAAGCATAAGTACAGATGCAATGGTAGCAATGGCAACTTAGCCAAAAGAGTTTATTGTACAATATAATTAAGAGGATATTTTTAAAATTGGTGAATCTCACATATTTGTATAATATGTCATTAAATGGTCCAATAGCTAACTAATGTATTGAGGGTACAAAAAAAAAAAAAACAAAACAAAACAAAAAACAAAAAAAAGATATTTGTTGCATTTATAGCCAATACTTTGGGCATTGAGAAGCTGTAATCAATTATTGTTGATAAGGCCCAAAAACCATGTACATTTGAGAAGAAAAGTGACAAGCAACTTGTATTCTATTACAACTACAATAAGAAAGCTTGAATAATATCAATCTTATTTATTAAATGACCCTAGCAGTTAGATTACAAAATCAGACTTCAACATCAAGAAATTCTCTTTCTCCTTGACATTTGCTTTGCACATAATTTGAATGGTGTTAAAACACCAAACATTACTTGTCACTTCTTCTCCCTCAATACAATAGATGCTAGAATTATTGTTGCATATAAACAATCATATAGGCACATTTAAATGCAATTTGTACCTGAAAAATTTTAAAATGGATGCAAAGACCCTTACAAGGTCAACATATTACAAGCCATGCATTAGACATGACATGCATGAGATGGAATAACAAACTATTAGAAATATACAAGGCTACTTAATGTTATAATTAAATAATATGAGAATGAAAAACCAAGTAAAGACATAAAAAGTGTTGTAGATAACATTGAATAAAAAATAAGAAGATTGATTATTAAGATTTTTTAAATTTTATAAATCAAATTAGACTATACTATTGTAGTCGCACACAAGCAAAAAGATTATTCTTTAATGGCTCTACACAACATCAATATCTTAGTAAATGAATACATTAATAAGTTCACTAATTTGTATCTATCTTAGTAAATGAATACATTAATAAGTTCACTAATTTGTATCTATCTTAGTAAATGAATACATTAATAAGTTCACTAATTTGTATCTATTGCTTGGTCAATACTCACAACCACACTTGATTGCTTTTTTTCAATTAATAATCCCACAATGTATTTTATAAATAGTAATTTCTTATCAAGAATATAGTTTTTAATTTTATAATTTTTGACTATTTGACACAATAAGAAAGGTAAAATAAAATAAAATAAGATGAGAAGGATTGTATAAGTTCTAATGCACTGAAATCATAAGCTCTAATGGCATGCAAAGAAGAAGACAAGTAGGGATATTAAGACAAGGACTTGTGTAAATGAATCAAAGCATTAAATAAGCCAATAGAGCAATTAACAATGGAACTTAGTATTGTATTGTAGTATGATTATTTGGTGAAGAAAAAAGAAGAAGGTAATATATTATAATAAAACATATTTTAAAATATAGTAGTAAATTCTCTTAAAAACATAGATTAAATTTAGAGAGGTAGTAAATTATTTAGTACTAATATTTTCTATTTATAAAAAAATAACTTCTATTTATTTTTTAGGATTATAAATAAGATAAAATAAAATAGGTTATAAAAAATATAATCAAAAGACATATTTAGGTGAAATTAAAGAGTATCTTTTAGAAAAAATTACCTAGAAAAACCTTAGATTGATATCTAAAGAGAGCAAGTTATGAACCAAGGTCAAAACCAAAACTTGAGGCACAAAATTGCACATCCATAAGAATTGTGGGAATTTTTTGTTGATTTGAGAGTGGAATTAAGACCAAGCTGGATAGAATTTCTTTAAGCATTGGTTTCTAGGGATTTAATACATAATGAATTAGTGAGAGCTTTGCAAAGTTTGGATTGTTTTGAATGACTCTTTTTTAAGTTGAATATAATAGAAATTATATTTAACAAATTTAAAATTTTTTGTAGTAGATCTATAAGTATAATTTTATAGATTTGTGAATGTACTTGTGTTGAATTTGTGATATGAAATTGAACTTCATTGAAATTTAAGGAAATTAGGATCTTAAAAAATTGGTTTTGAAGATCATTAAGGGTTTCTAAAATTCAAAAAATATGCCATTTGGATTAAAAAAAATAATTTTGTATGCTAATGGTTTACTTAATTTTTAACATTCATGCAAATTTTGATAATAAGTTAATGGTTCAAGAAGGAGATATTGATGTTGGAAGGTTAACATTGAGATTGAAAAAAGAAGATAGCCAACATCCTATCAAATTAAGAGAATTTTTTTTCTTATTTATGGGTTCAATTCTCTTTAAACTTTGTATGCTTGGTTCCAACTAGTAAATTTAGATACGTAATTTTTTTGAATTAAGATCAATAATTAAAGTAATAATTATTGTAATTTGAATATTTTTGTGGAATTTACTCTAACTTTGACTAGAGTATGTTTGAATTTACTTAATTTTTAATGATGATTTTTAAATTTTATTTCAAAATTAAATTAGAATTTGATTAGAATACTATAAAGATTCTATTAAGATTTGATTAGAATTCAATTAGAATTTGATTAAAATTTAATTAGAATTTATTCAAGATTTCTTTAGAATTTCTTATTTTTTCTTTATAATGTTTTGAAGATTTTTTTATAGAATTTTTTGAGGTTTATTTGAAGTTTAATAGATTGTGATAGGATTTTATTATTATTATTATTATTATTATTATTATTTTTTTAATATTATTCAAGACTCCAAAAAAATGTTCTAAACACCTTATAAATTGTTTTTTTTGGATTGTAAATCTGATTTACAATTGCAAGAGTTTTGAAAAGTTGTTGTAATGGCCGCAATTACTCTTTCAAAGGTCTAATATGCAATCTTCACATATCATCTCAAATCGTAGTGAAGGTTCCTTTGTAGGGCTCAATATTGCCTAAAACATGCAGACATGCAAGTTTAACGTGCTTGTAGACCTTCCTCAATGCATAATGAGACAATAGTCAATTGACATCTTGAAAGATTTCACCTCAAAGAGTTGTCTTGGCAAATGTCAAGATGCACATCTTTTCACAAGAGAGTTGCACTACATACTCCTTGTGCATGTTCCTGATGCAAAACTCCATGCATTGATATATGCCAAACAAATCAAACTTAATTGATCCAAGATATTGCTTGACTATGTGGTGCATGTCCTTTGTTGTGGAGGTTAGAGAATTGCCAAAGTGACAAATCTTGTTTTTCCGAACAACAAGGAACATCTCCTTATTCTCATATTAAGTAATTTGACAGCAAGGAATGCATCATTTTTATCAAAACAAAAAAGGTGATGCAAGCACAATATCCAGATGCATTCAATGCTCTTGAATCCAGTACTACAAAAGCTCAATAGAAACGAAGCAAAGCATTGATCCTAAATTTGATGCATGTGGTGATGTTGAACATTAGCAAACAACAATGAATGGGACAAAGTTCAGATTAAAATTTTTCTTTTGATGGCTTTGCCTCCAAAAAACCCCACAAAGAGCACTGCCCCTTGACTTTGCACACTAAGCGAGACCATTGTAGGAGGGTGTTGCACCCTCCCAACCCCCTCACAATTGTGGCAGGTGTCAAGGTCCACACAACAATTACATCCTCACCAATTAGGGGCCTCAGGGTGTAGTAACTTAGGGTGTGCTTATAGCCAAAGCAGTCTTGTATCATCAGTTTAACCCAAAACGGCCAGTCATTCATTTTCTGTCTTTACAGAATTCTTCCAAAACTTAACTCGTATTTTATTCTACAAGAACAAATTTTCTTAAGCGATAGAATATCACAGTTGGCATTTTCGAAAAATATAGTCACAAGTAGGCATCCTTGGTAACTTTTAAAGCACCTCATAACAAGCTTCGTCTTTCAGCAGGAACTCAAATTCTGCTGTGATTCGTTGAGATTATCACCTCACTGACCTTGAACATAATTTCTGCAGACATATGAATCATTTTCAACCCAAATCCTAATCCTGGTTAGAGGATTCACTTCCATCATGGGTCCTCACTAAGTAGACAGTATATTTTCGCATGTAAGCACCAGTTCTGGCAAATCAGTATAAGCTTCATAGCTTGTGAGCTTCCAGATTGCTCACCGCATGGATTGTAAGTTTGTGCTATCCCAAACGTTTCACTTGATGTTCTAATTGCTGCAGATTCTCAATACGCAGGTTGTGGACAGCTCAAAACTCTACGACGATTCTCCTCAGCATTTTGCTGGAACTTCTTTACTTCTGAACTCAGATGAAGATGAAGCCCTGCTCGCAAAATCTCGAACTCCTGATGGCAATCTGAAAAGAGTTGTTGCATCTTCACCACTGGTGGTGCATGTGTGCCACAATGACAGGAGCAAGGCGTCTTGCGAAAGACACTCCCACAAAGATATCATCCACAGCGCTTCCGTCAAGGAAGAGCACATAATGCCACGAACATCCCGACTTACGCCAAGTGAAAATTGTTCTCTGGAACATCAGTCCACTTGCAGCAGGGAGCATAACGAGCTGCGAACATGCTATAAACAGAAGGAACAAAGGACACTATGCCAAAAACTTCTGGCAACGGGTGTCGGTGTGTAAGGTTTGACACCGAGAACAGCAGAAACGTGCACCACATCGCGGGCACGTGTAAGGAGCAAGGTAACCACACACGCTGCAGAAATGACGGCGTGCCCCTACGCTTGGTGGTCCCACCGCTGCACGCAAGTAAGACGGTGCGTTGGGGGGTAACGACTCCAGATTGGCCTGCACAGTTTCACGTCACAGCTCTGTGCATCAATTCAGTCTCCGATATCCATAACTACAATTGAACTGCAAGGCATGTTACTGAACATAGCACTGAACACACGCACTTGTGAATATGCTGCTGGTTTGCACGTTACAGGTAGTGAAGTATTCTATTGCGGCAGAGTATCAGGCAGGACCAGAGATAGTTTATGTGTGTAGCGCAGGTGAACCGCATACAAACAAAGGAACATCGTAACGAGTTTGTATGGATAGTTGAGAAGGAGATGCAAGATTGTGAAAAGCATGGACGGGTGCACAGCAAGAACTTCTAGATCGGAGATACCTCTTGAAGCAGGTCTAGAAAGCTTCTGGGAGCTTTCTTTGTCGAAGCAACTTGCTCCAAGGCTCTAGCTTGCCGGGTTTTCCGCTTCGAGCTCTTGGGTGCCTTTTTCTGTGTGGGTCCTAGTGTACGCAGCACCCGTGGCCATCAAATAAGCATGGTACACAATACATCCAACGAGGTGGCACTAAAATTACGGAATATTCACGGCAGCAGTAGCAGGTACCGCCCTACAGATGTAATGCAGCGATTGTCTTCCTACACCAACTAACACCACAAGCATTTATACAACCACTTGAATGTGAATAACATTGTTGCAAGAGCTCCACACTTCGAGGGACAGGTACACAATCAGGAAACTGTGGGATACACATAGTAATCACAGCAAGTAGCACTGTTGTTCATCATCTATTCAAAAGGATAACTTGATACATAGCAAGAATCAAGTGATGCATGAAGTTCAGACCACAATAAAAAGGAAAGGAGAAACAAACATGTTGCAGCTTACTTTCATCCTCATCCATGGAGGCTTCGTCGTCATCATCGATGTCGATAGCCTCGTACACGATAGTGTCCTTCTCCAGAGCTTCCAAACGAGCTGCTGCTGCCTGCAACCCTCTTTACTTCAGTTCTCTATCATTCCACACCTACAAAGGAGTTTGTTCTAATGTGTAATTGGTAATGCGTACTATTACTTGGTGACACAAAACCTCGATGGAACTCGTCTCTCTTGTGGATAGAAACTAAGCGTAACGGAGCTCCTAACTTCGAGATCAGTTCAAAATCAGGTGCACATAGAAGGAGTAGCTGGCACAGCAAGCTGCAAACGGTATGCTTGCACACCGTGTTTTTCGGCCAATTACATCATGAGCAGTCCCACCAATCCTACTCTAGAAAAATTTAGCGGACTGCCTAAATTACATAGTACAGAGTGGGAAATTTTCATTGAAAACTCAATCAAACCCAAAAATGTAAAGCCCAAAGGTTAAGAAATTAACAAAGTAAGGCTCTACAAAACAATGATCTTTTCACTTGAAGCCATGATGACACCTCCATTCGACCTAACAGATGAACTGCTGCAAGTGTTCGGACGTGAACGACAAACCAAACCAGGTTTTTCTTCTCATAACCTCAACAGTTAGAACTGCGATCTCATGAAAGACTGTGACACCTTCAAGTGCTGTCATCGTAAACCCTAACCCCAAAACCCAAAACCCACAAATCATTTTCATGCAAGGAATTTCCAGTAGACTTTAAAAGTTCTTTGACGACACCAACAATCACTAAGAAGATAATTGAAAAGCACCTGGGCACGCATGTTGGTATCCTGAAGGGCTGCCCCCACCTTAGGCGCAATCTTACGAACTCTTCCAGACGCTCTCCGGGCAGCCCCTCCCTCCCCATGATCCTCCATGACTTCGTCCTCCACCCAAAAACTCCCAAACGTATCCTATGCTTCCCTCTACGCTAACCGTCCTCGTACTTTGCAATCCTAGCCGGACGCCAACAAAAAATCCTCTTCACGATCAGAACTCATCTCTCAGCAGCTCTTGACGTTAGCGATACTCTAAACCCTAGTTTGTAGGCGACTACGCCATAGCCAGCTTCAACGATGCAAACGAGAACTTTCATGTCCAAACAACCTTGCACATCGATAATTGAGAGAGACGGTGCACCAAACCCTAACTTACGAAAATCAAAATGAGTTGATGAATCACTATCGATGAACGAAAAAAATACGGACGGATGAGAATATGTAAAGTAATACGCTTCTAACAGTACAAGCTGTGATAGGTTGGCCCACATAGGATGAGGCACAGATCCCAATCCAATGAAAACCTCATGGAATTGGGAATTTGCAACTGGCATGTAAAATGCTGTAGAAGTCGGAATTAGGCGTTAGCGTAGCGCCAACGATGGAGTGATGCCCGCCTGTAAGCTCATTTGAAGGAACTGTGGCGGGATTCGGAATTAGAAGTAGAGCTATGTTTAACAAGATGGAGCAACACCAATAGAGTGCTTGCCAGCGGCGGGGGAGAAGTGACAGAAAAAGAAAAAGAAAACTAAGCACGTGGGTGCTTCTGAGATTGTAGCCGATATGGGGCGACAGGGCATCGCCGAGTGCCGTCACTTCAGTCTCAACGACTGCCAGAATGAGACCCACAGTCGCCAATTTATGGTTGCAAGTTCAAATCCGTCGAAGAATATATGTCATACCATAGCAGCAACACTTATGAACACTGGTGAAGGGTAAAATATGAGAAGTACTTCGAATGGGATCTGTATTTGAGAAATTGGATGTGCATGTTCATTCAGGAAAAAAATATTATAGAATCTTTGTGTGCATGAGCATAGCTTCTATCTTGAGTGCAAATTGGTTGTACATTTTGATGGAAGCTTCCGATAGCAAATGAATCTCGACGAGGGTCCAAGTCTGCCGTTGTTTGAAAACTTCTGGACAGGATAAAGCTTGGCAGTGCCTGATGGCTCTTTCGCTTGTAGATCTGTCGATTTCGTATGCGAGCCTCAGCTGACCATAAGCGGATTCTGCGCAATTCAGATAGTAGGAGAAATTATCAAAAGCATAAAAAAACAAAGCAAATTTCAACCATCTAACGCAGAACACCTCGTTCCAAGCCACTAAATCAAAAGGAGCACTCTTGCTAAGGCAAAGTGAAGCCTTGCATTTCGATTTGATCTCTTGAATTACAGAAAGATGCAAACAGTAGTAAACATGCTGGGATCGCTTTGCGAATTGTACCCCTAGAATACATAATAGTACAGACAGCAGCATTGCATCTGCAACTCAATCTGCACGAGAATATAGAAATCACTGCAATGGGCCATCTTCTCGGAAAAGGAAAAGACCCTACGCTGCTATTCGCTGCCATCTACGAGGAGAGTCTGAATACTGATGTTCAGATTTTCTGATCACTACAAAAAGAAAACAAGAGTGACACAGCCATTAAAACAACGTAAAATTCTAGATCGAGTCGGAGGACTGCATGTTTGAAATGCTAAGGCGTTCTATGCTGCGGGCGAGTTGTCAGGCTTTCTTACAGATTCGTCAGTGTTCTCCGGGTGTTGAACCTCTATGGAAATGCACTCTTGCGTAGGTTGTATGGTGGAGCTCCACGAGTACGAAATTACTGGGCGCGATGGAGGGATGGTGGGCAACGAAAGGTCACCGTAGAGCACCTGTCGGACGAAGCGCATGCTGGGCCGGGAGGCAGGGTCAGGATGGCAAGCCAGAAGTGCAATGTGCAAGACGAGCCTGCTCTGCATCACATCGACGTCTTCACCGAGGCGAGGATCCACACACTTCCGTAGCTGGTTGTTCTGATGCATCGTCCACACCCAGTCGAGCAGGTAGACCTCAGCGTGCGGTCGGTTAGGGTCAAAAGCTCGTCTTCCACATGTGACTTCGAGGGCAAGCACGCCAAAGCTGAACACGTCCGTCTTCGGCGTGGCTTTGCGAGTGTGCGGAAGCTCAGGGGCAAGGTATCCCATCGTCCCCGCTACTACAGTGGAGTAAGCTACTTTATTGTGATCAATCAACCGCGCCATTCCGAAATCTCCCAGGTATGCGTTGAATTTGTCGTCCAGAAGAATGTTACTCGGCTTCACGTCGCGATGCAAAATGCACTGCTGCCACTCCTCGTGGAGATATGCCAACGCCCCAGATAGACCACTGAGAATGTTGTACCTTGCATTCCATGCTAAGACGGGGTTTGTTTCCCCCTCTTCCGCAGGCATAATCCACTTATCCAAGCTCCCATTTGGCATGTAATCGTACACGACGAGCAACTTCTCCTTCTCCGCGCACCAGCCACGCAACCTGACGAGGTTACGATGCCGAATCTTCCCGATTATTGACACTTCAGCTAAAAATTCGATCTCGCCTTGCCGTGAATCTTTTGCAATAGATTTCACGGCCACCATGGATTTGTCACGAAGTACACCCTTGTACACGCTGCCGAATCCGCCTCGGCCAAGCAACTCCGTCCGGGAGAAGTTCTTCGTCGCAGCAGCCAGCTCCTTGAACGTAAACACCCTAGGACCATCCGCACCAAGACTTTCGAAAGGTATCAAAGGAGATTTCCGTGCGGTCAATCCGCTTCTACGACTTCCGTGCAAACTAGAGAATCTCTTGCGCCGTCTATTGTACCAAACGGCACCTGCTGCAACAAGCATAACGACCACTGTACCGATGATTGCACCTACGATGGCGCTTAGATTGGAGCCCCCGCCGGGAGCACCAACGCTACTCGAAATACTCGCAGAACCAGCGTCACTCGCGTTGACGTAAATTTTCACCTTCAGATACCTGGTGGCGCAATGTCCCAACACAGCGCACACGTAGTAATGCCATCCTGGCCTGTCCAGAGTCACTACGTCTACACCAGATCCGAAGGTGGTAATGATGGCCGACAAATTACACATATCGTAGTCGTTTCCCGTTGCGAGTTCCGCAACATTGTGAAGCCCCGATGTGTAGTTAAAGACTGAGCACCAACAAAACAAAACAAAACAAGAAAATTATTGTGACATTATCGGCATTACCACCACTGGTTTCGGTAGAGAATAGCGTCCTAGATTCAGAGCACCACTATCCAATTCCTGCGCTGAGTACAAAATGGCTGGAAAATGTAACGTAAGCATGCACAGCAGATGCGCAATATATACCTAGTTGGTCGCCGACTCTGAAAGTGTTGTTATTTGCCCAATCATCGTACCAGCTGCTGCTGCTGCTATTTGGGGGAAAATCCCACTTCCTGTCGCCACCAACTATATGCGTTGAAGCTTCGCCGTATGACACTGCTATCACACTCACAAGCAGAAGCAGGGTGAACGATCGGGATGGTCCTCCAAGTTGGCTCTCCGGCGCCATAGCTGAGGGTGATGCTACTTGTGACTCATCAGGGTCACGCTGTACTCACCTAGTGAGATGTGCTGCTCTGCTACCACGCAGTCGACAAAAGCTGGTACCTACGGGAATCTCATTCTTATGGTTGTTCGAATGGAATAGAGGATAAAATCCCCAAACTAGCAATGATCTGAACAGTTGCGGCAGTGTCATAAACAAGTGTAGAGAAGACGAATGATCAACATCTTTCGGGTGCCATCACAATATCAATCATTTCACAGGACCGCACACTTACAAGCGAGGTGGATGGGGACGATTCCGAGACCATAGGGTAGCAAGAAATTAAATCTGGATCCAGGAGATGACACGGAACAAAGTTCTAGGTCAAACGCGAACCAGGAAATATAACAATGCTTGTGGCAAGAAATGAAGGATGCAAATACAGCAGAGATCAACACCAACTGGCGGTGGGTCTGACATGAAACAATTTGCTATGGACTTTGCTTATGGCTCGATATCCTTGTTTCGAACGATTTGGCGTCAGCACGCTTCCTTACATTCAGGATGAAATGGGCATCCTGAGAAGAACTACCAATGTTTTATATCTATCGCTTTTCTGCAGACGGATCCAGCGGAGAGCACAATGGCGGATAATACTCAGGTTTCCATCACTCCAAAACTCGGCGACTCCGTCTTGGTTACAGCAGCTAAAAATGTGGCCACGTCAGTCTGCAGAGCCGCACTGGGCCTGCCCTCAGATGCAGGGGGATGGCTGTTGAGGCCTTTCCTGAAACCTTTTCTTTTCCATTTTTGCTCCTTTCCCACCACCCTCTTTGGCAGAATATAAACCCATTAAATATATCCATCGAATGCAGGACATCCCTTCATGTATGGACCCAACCATCTTCACAAACCATTTCTTTCTCCCACGTGTAAGGGATGGGCTATCTTACCCATTCGAGTCAAGTAGTGACTTATCCGAATATGATTTCAACAACATGCACAGTTGGGTTCATGAACTACACCCGACTCCAAGCACTACCCCAGTAAAAATTTCCAGACTTCCGCAAATTAGTTGTTGGCTCTTCGCCAGTTATCATCAGACACTCAGGATTTTGGCTTGCGGTTTCGGAAAGTTGTTAAAATCCTTGTTGGATCCAGGACCTATTTATTTGTGCACTGCGTTACGCTTGGAGGCCCGTAGATGACTGGTAGTAGATTCGAGCTCATCTCGGAGTCTCGAAACCTGGTGTAACTGTTATGATCATGGATAGAGCCAGCCAGGTTTAGGATCCCGAGTGGCTTTCTGGTGGGGTGTGTGAAAGTTGCAGCACGAAGATCACGTCTCGGCAGAATACCACAGCCCAAGTGGCCGTTCTGTGTTATTATAATAGTGATACAACGCAAACAAAAAAAAAAAAAAAAAAAAAAAAAACACATTAAACCAAAATACAAAAAATTAATAAAACTATCTCACACGTGTGCTCTACTATAAATCAAACAGTTAGTACTTCAGATGCTTGCTCGAATTGAAACATTTAGTTTGTTAATTCACCACTGAATAATGTTTCCAAATCGAAAAACAAGGAAAGAACGAAAAAAGTATAACGTGGCAGTGCGGCAGTGCTGTGAAGTTAATGACTGGGGGCAACAGACCATTAGACAGGGACTAAACTGGGTGCCAAATGCGCCCATTGCAACTGAAAAAAGCGTGAAAGGAGATAGTCGGGACAAAGAAACATCTATCTCCAGAGGAACCCAGGCGTTTCGATGGAGAAACGGCAGTGGGAGAGTTGATGAAAAGTGGGGAGCTCATCATGTTCATCGGAGGTGCCATCTCCGTTAATACACTTTCCCTTTTCAGCATGTTGCATTCGCTGCATGTCGCGAAGATGCAGTGCACTGGAATTCCGTAGGGAGTTCCACAACCATTGCCGCGCTTGTAGATATGGATTTCCATCTCTGCGCAATTGTAGCCGAGCGGGACGCAGGGTAAGACTAGGAGCTGGATGAGGACACGGACGCATACCATCCACTGTGCTTTCCACAACCAGCATTATGGCATGACCCGAGACCAAGGCCTCAGGGTGGTGCAGGGATTAAGTCAGAAGCATGGCAGCTTGAATTCTGCAAGTCTTTACGGAGTAGCGTTTCAAAACCTAATAGAATCATTCCCAGCAGGCTTGCAAATTGTTCCGTCGGGAGGAAATACCTAGAGGGATACCTCTTCCAAGCGTGAAGCGTTTTTCAGGGACAAAGAGACTCTGGAGCAACATTCCCTGGCCCCAGCCTCATGACAGAATGCATTCAGTCCGTCTAGAAATCCGATGACGTGGAGAGGGATGCAGCTGTGGTCGATGTGAGCAGCAAGGCTTGTTTCTGCATTCTTGGGCGCTCGTGTCATGTGCGACACTCGTCGTTTTTCTTTGAGTCGTGGGGACTGCAGAGTTCACCGACCAAGTCTGGACTTTAGCTGATACGTTTTTTGCAACACTTCATTTGAAAAATAGCGGATTTGCCTTGGCGATCGAATTCTCACGTCGAGGTTTAAGACTGCTAGTAGTACACACATTGCAGCACCGGCTTAGCGATTGTAAATGGGATGCTGGTTCTGTTTCGTTCGGAAAACACGAAACCTTATTAAGTCTAGCTCGATTAACAGCTACTTTCCCATCTCATCAATGCCAGGGCTACGACTTCCTTCTGCGCAACGCCAGTGTGCATCAACGATCTCGTGCGAACTGATGGCATCACAACCTTCGACAACAGCTGCCTCCAGGGCTTAATGCAAGGTCGTAGGACCTTGCCAGCTGGTTATGACTTGGTAATCGACTCCTCATCCAAGTAGCTTGTTCGGTTTATGGTGCATTTCTAAGGCCACGAGGTGTGTTTCGCCCTTCTTCCATAATTCCTTGGAAAGTCGAACAAGATGAACATTCTCAGTGGCACTCAAGGGCAAGTTCGGAATGAATGCTGGGTTCTAAACTGTGTCGACAAGTCCACGAGCCCAAAAGAGACAATGCTGACCCTGTCAGTTCCACCATTCGTATGCCCACAAAACCAAAGAGATGCCGACATGCACAACAAACGGTATTTGGAAGCAGGTAATTGTAGGCTTTCGAGCTCACTGGGTCCAGATGAGCAGATCGGGTTAGATCCGTGTGACATGGAAGTTTTGCAATCGGACGGCGTTCTTACATTCGCTTGGAGAACACTTCATCACTCGGGACCCTGCCAAGTGGTTTTCAACGCAGTCGGTATGACCGAAACACCCAGTTGCGGTGAATGAATGTCACAGCGGTTTGTTTTGGGATTGAATGAAATGACTCTCCTGTGCACCTCTTGTGCCATGCGTAGACGTCACCTTCAAGAGGAGTATCATTCCACTCGCTGCAAATAGCCATTCCACCGCACTCGCTGCAGATCCTAAGAAAAAGTATTAACCTGCCAAGCTACAATCGACTGATGAATTTATTAAAGATGATCAGGTGCATAAAAACTCATTCCTAAGTGAATGTATATAACACATACAAGTGTACAAGGCGTCAGAGATCTATTGTGCCGATCCCAACTAATTCCTCTGACAATGCCAGTACTAAAATTTTGTTGCAGATCTACTGGAGTTTGGTGCTCATTTCTACTCCTGGAGATCTACTAGTCAGATCGCTTAAATCTACTCCAACAGTGTTCATCGATGTCTCACAGAAGCTTGAAGGTTTCTAGAAAACCAGCAAGGTTTACATTCTTTGTGGTGATACCACGGAATGACTGCATGAGCTCCCCCACTGATCAGCACGTAGGTAGCCCAATTCGAATAATGATTTGTGCACCCCTTCATAGAAAAATAGAAACAAATGCAGCCACAGAAATGCAGATTGAAAGGGACACAGAACCAGGACGGGTTACTGTCAGTGAAGCTTGACTACCGGGTGCAGCAGCGTCTGATCCAACAGGTGGAGGAGGGGGTGCACTTATAGGCGATCCAGTAGCACTAAGCGCGAATTTCATGCCTTGTTTACAATGAGATGGAGCTCCGCATACGAAGTAGTACGTGTCAGGAGTGCTAAGGAACACAATGTCCTGCCCAGAATGAAACGAACCCCCTGGGATAACGGTCCCCAAATTACAAGAAGTAAAGTCTGATGCAGTTCCCAACCGATACACGCTGTGCGTTGAATTGTCGTAAGAAAAAACTGCATTGCAAAACCGAGTTAATTCATATGTGAATTGGGACGCAGAGGTTGAATTAACGACAGTAATGGCAGGGTTACAAAGACTCCACATATAAGTCTCTTTGAATACCACCCATTAAACAGCGATCCACGAATTACAATGGATATCCGAAACTCTTTCAGAGCTCTGAAGGATGCGTCAGGAAATAAAACTAGCAGGTCCTGTCATTCCAGGAAAGCAGCTCAAATAACGTAAAACAAATATTTGATTTTGAAGGAAAAATCGGTAAAAAAGTAACGTATCAAGAACATGAATCACATCAATTTGTCCCACACTGCATCAAAAGCAATTCATTTTCCTAAAGAACAGAAAACAAACGCAAGAACAAACACACAATATGTAAAAGTGCAGACAGTTAGATAACCTACGGAGAGTGTCGCCGGTCTTGAAAGCGATGGTGTCTGCCCAGTCTTGATAAAATGAGGGTTTACTGGTTGCATGAAGATAATTCCATTTGGGTACGTCTCCTCCCACAATGTACTGCGCGGCATACGCGCTGCCCAGGAATGTTAACATGGCCAACACAAGGATCACGGCGCCAAACAAACCTCTCTCTCGTCCCTGTCTCATTGTAACCAATCCGAAAAAGATGATGTCACATCTGCTAGGAGATCCAACCAAAGTACACCCAGATCGGAGAGAACAGGTATGGGGAGATCCCGATTCAGATGGAGCAATTGATCACACCGACGTCTTCACGATCTCCGCGGCTAGGTCTTCACTTCCTGCTAACTAGCGCACATAGGGCCTCTGCGCCGCATCCAAAAGAGAATGGCCGGCATGAGCAAACACAAAGACTTGACACAACAACTGGCAATGCAGCTGCCAGCAACACGCAGGTGAAACAAGGGATTGACTAAGCGTCGGTAGAGTTCTCAATCTAAGGCTTCACAGCGATGCAACAGGAGAATCCATTGATGCGGCATTACCTGGCTGTGATTTACGATACTATTCCATAATGAAGGATTCTGTTGAAAATAACTTGAACTTTATATGGAACATAACCGCTGCGGTACTGTGCTTACCGCGTTTCTCAATCCTATCCCAGAATTCATCAAAAAATAAGCTTACCAGTTGTTTGTCTTCTACATGAACGTCAAACCATTGTTACAGTATAATCACGAAAAGCCCGCAAAACCCCTGAATTCAACAACAAAACGGGAGAGGACGGAAGAGAAAGAGCTGGAGTTCTGCACCGCGAGGAAAAGTAATAGAACAGAGAATGCACACTTGAAATCAAGCGAAGGAGAATCTCGAGGCAGCGAAGAGAGGAAATTTGAAAAAATCACAAACACAAGTTTAGTCGAGGGTGAAATATTAATAGAAAGTTGAAAATCCACTTGCGTCACTTGACAATTTTGAACCTCATCTATCCCTCGAACGCGGTGCTCCTACCGATAATATATAATAATTGTTGGAGGAGGAAGACTTTGAGATCCATATTTAGCAGGATTCAAGTGGTTAGACACTGTGTTTGCGTCATCCTTTTTGTTTGTTTGATTTTATTTTTTTATTGAAAAGCAAGCATTCAACTCGAGACATTAAACACACTTTCTCTTCTAGGGACATGTCTAAGCCTTGAGAGCCGTTTCCGAACCACTCGATCGTTCCACTCTTACCGAAGCTGTGCAAATTTCGGCATTCTCGACACGTGAATAGAGTTTTGTGTCGCTCATGCCAACTTAGTCTGAACCCCTAAACTCATACTCGTGAGATAAACCCCTGTGGTGGATACATTAGGGTTTGTTATACCTCAAACTCTAAGAGTGCCACTCTCCCTTGTGCTTTCTAGGGTTTGGGATCAGCTTTGCTGTGGGTCACCTCTTGTCATGGAAAGAGCATTTTCAAATGAATTGTTTTGCTATATGCTCATCATAATCTGAAATAATGGATATAATTGGTTAAAAACCAGTGTGTTTCACAAATACTTAATGTGGTCTTGTAAATTCTGATTCAATTTTTATTGCAATGGTATTCAAACCTTAAGGTCAACATATGAGGTTGAAATAATTTTCCATTATTTATTTATTGTTACATATTAGAATATATTTTTTATATTGATGCACTTTTATGTATTTCATTTTAAAATATATATTTATGTACAATTTAAATTTATCAATGATTACAATTATGATTAACTTTATGTCTTTAGATGTACTTTGATTTTAGATTATGATAGACAAATACATTAGAATTTATTCACAATTACCATTAAATAAGTTCTTTAGATTGTCTATTTAATTTTTAAAAGTAATAATATAATATGTTTGTGTTATATAAATATGTTATATTTATAACTTATAATATATAACTTGCAATATAAAATTGGAAGGTTTCAAATCAAATTTTAAATATATATACATAAATTTTAAAATAAAAATTTAATATAAATAATCTATTTTGATATTGTAACAAGTAATTATCAAGTTCAATTGTATAATAAAAAAAATACAAAGTTAAAATATCTAAAATAATAGATTTAATTATTTAAAATATAAAAAACTAAAAAATGTAATAAAAAACTTAAACAATGATTAAAAATATAATATTTTATTAACTATGATGCAAAAATTTATACTACCTTTCAAATAAAAAAACATCTACTTCATCACTTTTTTATATTATAGTATTTATATTTATCATGCATCTACTAACTATATTGACAATATATAAGATGTCTGATATAATATACATTACTACATATATAAAATTTACAACTAAACTAAAATTTAGAATATTTAATATATATTCATTTTAATCTTTGATGTTAAGATATTGTATTGAAAGTAATCTAAAATAAAATATTATTTATATATAAGAATATTTTTTATTATACAATTGAACTTGATAATTACTTGTTATAATATCAAAATAGATTATTTATATCAAAATATTATATATATATATATATATATATATATATATAAGAATATATATTTTTAATAGACATATCTTGTAAAAATTAAAGTCCATATCTGTCACAAATATAGATAATTATTTGAATAAGTAGTATTAGGTAGAATGAAAATATAAGTAGATTTGATAATATCTCATAGAAAAGCTTCTCAGAAGCTTTCATATGCAGATTTGACTTGTGTGTATTTTTAATTAATTAGTAGGTTGAAAACTTAACTAATAAGTTGGCCACATGTTGGATATATTGGCGACTTATAGTACAAGTTGGCCATGTATCAAGGACATGAATTATAAACAATAAAATCCTCAATACACTCTTAGGTCACTCAAAAAGAATAGATATTTATTCAAAGATAGTAATATACTAAATCTAAAATGACTTTGTCAAAGACAAGAAAATTAGAGACTCTTGAAATAAGACTAAAAATAAGAAAGGCGTTGATAAGAGTTGAGAAGGCTTCACTCTTGCTATCATATATACTATCTAATTAAGAGGTATGTGACAACATTCTATATGTATACTCATGACATTATTCCTTCTTTTAGGTATGAGTTCTATAAGAAGTAGTGATCACATGTTAAAAAAGTCTAAGATGCATCAAATTGTATTTGATATGTACTTTGATTTTTCTTCTTTTTGAAGGTAGTTGATATGTCTTTTCAACCTTTGATAGTGTTCTATATTAGGCTATGAAGACTATTCTAATATTTCATCATTTTTTACGCCTTTGTAACTTCCTCTTCAAATAAAATATTTGAAATATTATTAAGAGTGATTCATACTTTTGTTAATATTACTAAGCATTAAAAGACTCTTCTAAGGTTGTGATACAAAATATTTTGAATCTCACCATTTGTTTGAGGAAGAACACGTTATTCTTAAGAATTTTTATATCTATTATGTGGTCTTAAAGGCTGTAATAATCTCAATGCATCGTTTACTAATTCAAAAAATAATAATTCTTAAATTAAATTAATTGATTATTGATCCTTTATTTCTTTAGTGCCACAAATATACAAAAACCACAAATAAAGATTGAGAGTATATTATAATCTCCATTGACCTCATTTCTTTTATATCAATAATTACTTAACTTTTCATCTTGGTTTCGATAGATGTTGTCAATGAAAATCATTAATTTTCTTTGGTGTATTTGCAAGATTCTTAGATGGCTCTCATCTGCGTTCACTAACATCATATTTGTGCTAATAAAAAAGATACTTCAATCTATTTTAGTGCCTCCTTGAGTCTATGACTTCTTTGATTTCAAACTCTTGATTATTGTTTATTTGTATAGGAAGAAGGGGTATTTGTCTTTTTCTCAAGATATTTACAATCTTATATGGCTTAAAAAGAGATATGTACAATATATGATGGATCTTTATAGACTTTGATAGGTATAATATATAAAAGGCTAGATTGATTTATTTACAAATAATAAATAGTCAAAATCTATGATAATTTAATTTGTTTCAAAGACAAAAAGTCTTTATATTATGACAAAGTTACTATATCTTATTGCCAACATAAAAATGAGTTTGTTTCTTGCAATAGGCATCAATATTGATCTTTTGTTGTTCTTGAGATTTTTTCAATTTTGCATTCATTGCTGCATATAGTCCTAATAATTGATTTGGCAAATCTTTTATTACAAGATTATCAATTTTTAAGAAGAAAAAAATATCAAGTTATAGATGATAATTATAATTAAGAAAAAAAGGTGTTTATTAAGTAGAAGAATATATTGTATTATTGTAGGAAAATTTTGCTAATAGCAAAACTGTTGTCCAATCATCTTGATGGTAGTTGATGGTACATCTCAAATACTATTCTAAAACTTAATTCACTTATTCTTTTTGTCCATAAATTTGAAGATGAAAAAACAAAGATACTTTTATGTTTACCTTCAACATTTTAAAAAAGATTTTCTTACATCATGACAGAAATTGAGTTCTTCTATCAAATATAATATTCTTTGATAATCTATTATAATAATAAATATTGTGAAGAATATTTTTAGATATTTCTTTAGTTGTAATAGTTTTTTTTACAAAGTAATAATTGTACCATTTTGGAGAAAAAATCTACTATCACAAATATAAAATCATATCAATTTGAAATTAGAAGATTTATAATAAAGTTTTTTTGAAACAAGACTTTGATTGTTCTAGTATATATAGTGATAAAAATAATCTATAAGATCAATGACATGGAATTTTTGATCTTGAACAAAAATCATATATTTGTACAAAATCAATAATTACCTTCCATATTTGATACCACCAAAATTCTCTTAATATTAATTCTTATATCTTTTTTTATTCTAAATATTATGTAATTAGAAAATTATAACAAATTTAAAGAGTAAGTAGTTGTTCCTTATCTTATGGAATATATAAGCATTTTTTTAATAGAAAATATTATTTTAAAAATCAACTTAAAAATTTCATGAGATTTAAAAATATTATCTCTATTATCATGAATAAGACAATTTGAAATTTTTTTTGACTGGACTTGCTTAAGAAAAATAAAATTAACTAACAATACTGATTTTATAATTTAAAGATGAAATTATTACAACTTCAAAAGAATAATTTGTTGATTAAAATATCCATTTTATTTTTTTAGTACAAGATAAGAGCATCTAAATAAGACGTTTAATAAACCTTGTTTTTTTTTTTAGTTGATACGTGATTTTGGATTTAAATCTTAACAAAGTATGCTCTAAAAGCTTCACAATAATTTAAAATATATCTTATTATAAAATACTTGAGATTCTTATTATCAATATAAATATATATTAAATCAAAAGCTATTTTTAGATAATTTAAATATTCTTCAAAAAAATCCAAACTTACAAAAAGTTTTTTTGTTGTAAATCTTATAATTGATCTTGATTGCTAAAACTTTTCTTGAATAAAAAGCTAATCAATGAATTTTGTCATTTTTATTCATTCGTGAAAATATTAAATCAAAAATAAAGATTAATACATTTTTTTAAAAAAAATGCCTCAAAAAAATTGATACAATATAATATATATACAAAAATAAAATTTTTCTTTAAAGATTCAAATCCTTCTTTAAATACTATATTCTATTGAAGTTTATTTTTGCAAGAAAATGTAAAAATGGAAAGAAAAATAGAGATTTTAGGCTCCCTTGAAAGGTGGTAATAACCACTTTCTTGTTAAATTTTCAAAAAAATAAATTATTGTCATATTACTATTCTCGGTATTATTTTTAGACTTGAACCTCTAAAACTCAGATTTAGGACTAAATCTGATCCATTTACTTAGATAAAATACATAAAAATCATTTGATTTATAAGACTTTTATACTAGATTGATTTATAAGATCTAATACAGTAGATATGGTTTTGCCTCCTTAATCCTAAAGGTTTTAATAGTTGTTATATAATATTTTAAAATTA